CCACTGGCGTGGAAATAGCCCTCTGAGATGAGCCTTCTGGCGTCACTAGCTTTGGTCAAGTAGACCGCCATCGATCCGTACTGTTTCGGGTTTTCTTGGTCGCTTAACCATACGATTTTGGCGACGGTGGTGTCGTTTTCCTTGCTGAACTCCTCTGCCGCTTCACTTCTGTACTTTCCTTTCTCCTCCCACACCGCCGACCATCGCACAAAGTCTACCTTGATCGGATACAGATCGTCGTCTCGGACGCGCATGCCTGGGGCAATCTTCGTCTGCGCGATTTGCTTGACCATTTGGTGCTCCGCGTCGCCTCGGCAGACGATTCTGATGAGATTCTCGTTTCTTGGGTTCACGGTGACGGCCTGACACCGCCATCCCGTATGGCCGTCCGCTCGCATCTCCTTTTCCACTGCCGCCCTGATCGCGCCCGCGTTGGGCTTGTTGTCATCTTCTGCTTCAACTCGTGAGGTATCGATCGTGCAGTACAGAGTGTCAGCCACGTTGGTCGGGTTCACGCCGGACGTACGGGTCCGTGCATCGCTGGTTTGGTTGGTTGAGGGGATTCGGGCGACGGCGGCGTAGGACGGACTGGGGCCGCTTTGCGCCGAAGCCTGAGTCGCAAAAGCCTCGATCTTTTCGCGTGTCTTCGTGTTATCGTCTTCCACTTGCTGCTTTAACGCCTGCAGGTCGTCGCGGACCGTCTGCAACTCGTCTTTGATTGACCCGAGTTCCTCGTTCGCCGTCCGAAGTTCGTCCGTGACTTGTCGAAGCTCGGCCTGGATGTCCTTGTTGCGCAGTTCTGATTTCTTCCATGCATTGAAAACCACCTGGAGGGATGCGTGAAGCTCCCTCATCTGCTTTCCCATGTCCAGCAGCAGGGTTCTGTCGTCGTCCTCGGTCGTCTTGGTCCTTCCTCTCGCGGCTGACGCGCCCCTGGTGGTAGTCCTCCGCACCCCATTTCCTCCGAGATCGTTCGCCTCTGCGCTTCCATTGTCGGCAATCTCTTTGTTTCCTTCGTTCAGTCGGACTTTGGTCGTCGGTTTGCGTATCCGTCGCGGTGGCCGTTCCGTTCCGCTGGCCTCCCCCGAGTCGGACGCGACGTTGATGGTGTCCGACTCCGCCTGCATGTTTCACGACGGGACGCGCCGAAAGTGGGTCCACTAGTGTCGCGCCACGCGTCTCAATACCACCCCTTTCGCAAAACACCCGACTGACTCTCAACAGCAACAACAAAATATGATAATAAGCTGAGATCCCCGAATCTAGGTATATTCAGCGAGATTACTGTGGTCCTTCAGCGAGATTCCTTCGCTGTACTGTAGAAATCGAAATTGGTTTCCATGTTCTGAAGACTGGAATTCTTCTGCGCACAGACATTTATGGATCCGTTTGCTGACAGGATACATGCCGAGACCCATAGAGTACTTCCTTAGTAACCTCCGCCGCAAAGCCAGAAAGAGCTTCTACACTGTGTTAATCGATCAGACCTGTGTCATATAATCTAAGATCCACAAATGGCGATGATCAGTGCAGACTTAAGTATATACCGCTTGCTTATGTTTGCTTGTTGACATACACAAGTCCTACTTATGCATACAGGTTACTCTGAACCTAATTCAGAGTTCATCGTTAGCCTCCACGCCAACAATGACTTGTGCAAGAGCATCAGCAAGAATTGGCTGAACCGTCCTGCTTATGTGTACTTCCTTGTACATTTTCGAGTGTATAAATGAGTATCCCTAAGCGACCACATATTATTTACTGAATTCACGAGCAAAAGTCGATAGCTCCTAGCCGAAGGCTCACAGGTACAAGCTGGCAAGGCCGCTTAGAAAGGTTAAGATGAATATTCCTACTTGAAGTTGCGAGCTGACGCGACATATATGGGAGAAAAGTCAGCCTGTCAGAGACGTTAAACCAGCGTTTGTATAAGTCTCCAAATTAGCTTCGAGGTTATGTCGTGTCCTTAGCGTCGAAGGATGATTCGTTCCCAACAACTTTTCTTTCAGCTTCAGTGCCTGCCGATGCATCTGTTCCGCTTCGCTATGCTTCCCCTGATCGATGCACGAGTGCCAAGTTGTTCATGCTGCCGAGTGTGGAGGGATTCTCTGGTCTCAGCACCTTCTTCCTTAGCTCCAGTGTCTGCCGATTCATCTGCTCCGCTTCGCCGTACTAGGTGAAACTGCCACTGATGACAGCATAGCCAATTTATTCGGGTGGAATCCACGGACGGTGCGACGAATTCGCTCGAAACTGCTTCTGTTTGGGCCTGCGAATATCCCAACAAATACTCGCGGCCGCCCCAAGTCCATCACTCCTCTTATGCTGAGCGCCCTGCGCAGCCAACTTGCCCTTGATCCGTGTCTGACACTTGATAGATGGCTGCTTCTCTTCGCGAACATTATGATGCCGACGTGTCCCGCTTCACCATCAGTAGGACCTTGAGGAATGGCAATCGGACTCAGAAAGCCACACAAGATGTAGCTTGGCAGAAAATCGATCAACTCCGTGAAAAGAACATGATTGAGGATGACAGCAGCATTCTTCAGCTTGATACATTTGACGTTCATACTCCTGGAGCGTTTACTGACTTGGACAATACCATCATCACAGATTGGTCTATTGACCTTCCACAACAGGGCATCATGAAGTGGATTTCAGCTGTGTTCATCACCACTCCCGTAGTCTTGACTTGGGCTACCTCAGCCACGGCATTCTCCCAAGTGTATTTCGGAAGCAATCGGCGAGGTGGGGGAGGATCTCGAAGCAATACCTCAGCAAGATCATACTCGTTGTTCATCGCTTCATTTCGGCGGCACTAGAGGTCGTTTGTGCAGACACTCAGGTGCTCCAGAACGTCTCGTCTGCCATCTTGGACGACCTCCGCGCAAAATGCAATAATAGCATAGGCCAAGCAACTTTGCTGGTCAACGTCTAGCGGCAGCTAATGCTGTACACGCTGAATCACTACTTCAACCATAACTAGTAGAAGAGCTATGGCTCCCGGATCAAGGAAACGCTGCGGCCCAAGGCCCTAAGAGATAGTTCTAAGTGGGGCCCGGACCCGCTTATCGTCAATTTGAGTGATGTTCCTGACGCAGTCACGAACAAGAGCAACGCAGCACATGCCACGGAAACCATCCATGAAACCCTCGAGGTCTAGTATAATGTCGCTTATAAGCGATTCGTTATAATATATTCAGCCAGGCGGTTGACTACAAGCTGCTTTTTGGCCCAGAGAACCCCCTTAGGCTATCTTCGGAGCGATGGGTCCTCTGCCTGGACCCGGAGAAGCTGCTTGTTCTGGCGGAGGAGTCCCGTGGGACGAGGGAGCGTAGGGAAAGACTGAAGAAGGAGATCCAGGACTTGGGGGTTGCGATGGAGATCCTGCGCTGACAGGATTTAGAACGCTTATTACGAGTGCGTCACATGTGGCATGATTAAGAAGTTTCATCTGCAATTCCACCAAAGGGACAATGCCAGGTGCCGTTACAATGTTATGGGCAAGCAAGATGGTCAAGCGTTCAATGAGCGCTTATAGGCAGCTTCATTTCGCCAATATCTAGTAGAACGACTTCATGATAGCAATCGAGTTTTTGATTGGGTTTTCTGGTGTACTCCAGGGGTGGTCTAGCTCGGCGAAGATGACGGGTAGGCCGATGGGTCCGATCGCTAATATGCGCCGGAGACGATCAGACGGGACTGAATCCGTTGCGGCCCTTCAGCTAAGCCACCCATTAAGTCATTTATTTGGTGCTTCTCACACATATCCCATCTCTCCTGTTTCCACTCTTGCATCCTGATTGTTCTGTTCGTGTGCGTCCAAGAAGCTAGGCTCTGCGTAGTTTTTCTAGGTCGATGATGCAGGTGACTTTCTCGCACACATCACACCCTCCAGGCTTTGAGCCGCACGTGCCTATACTGAAAGTTGTAGAAGACGAGATGTAATGCTCTCAAGGTGGTTTGCTCAGTATTGTGGTTCGGCAGGGTCGTGGGCTTCGCAATTTCGACAAGGATCATGGCGACACGGCCTTTGACTGTGACCGGCCTGAGGATTCGTACAGTGCTTTGTCCCAGCTGCGTTCATCGTACCGCAATGGTGACACCACCACCCGTAGGGTATGAGGTACTCCTTAGCGTAGCACTTGTCTCGGTCACAAATGCCCTGGGCTGACACGGTGGCGGTTGCAAGGGGACTGCAACGCAACAGAGTCCCACGTCGACTGTGTCGACGATTGGCGCTCACGGCCTCGGGGCAATCTTCAGCATTCTCGGGTTCGTACCACTTTTCTCCGTATTGGTGCCCGCATGAGTAAGTATATTTATATGCTCGACACATCTTAGTGGTATAGAGATGTTCAGGTGCAAGGTTTGAATGATTAGATAGAATTGCTAGATAGCGTGGGCCATCATGCTTTGTGTCTCGGGAATGACAATGTCATATACACAGGAAGCTTCACAGATCATAGTCCTATGCACGGGTCTTCAAACCGGACAGAAGCCAAGGGATTGCGGCAAACTGGCCGTCACAATTAGGCCAGGCGAGACGCCCAGGACTAGTGTGATTGCTAGGCCGGCATTGGTGAGCCATTGTGACGAACATCAAGTCGTCGGCACCACCGCCTAATAACGAGCCTGTTATAAGTGCCTACCAGTAAAAAAAATGCCAAGAGATTGTTATAGGGCGTATTGCTGGCAAAATGGCCGTCACAATTAGGCCAGGCGAGACGCCCAGGACTAGTGTGATTGCTAGGCCGTCATTGGTGAGCCATTGTGGCGAACATCAAGTCGTCGGCACCACCGCCCAATAACAAGCCTGTTATAAGTGCCTGCCGACAAAAAGGCCTGGAGCACGGACCACACTCGCTAACAGCACTTTTGTTAGGGTGCGCGCAGCGGAGGACTTAAATTTCAACCAGGACCCCCCTCCACGGCCTAAGAACGCAGCCGGATTCTCCTGCTTGCGTTCCAATTCATTGCTATCTGCCACAACAATCGACATGGCGAATCCACCGCTATACGACATCACTCGATGGCAGGTACACGAAACTGAAGACGACTGCAATCTCGTCATACGAACCAATAACGGACGAGCCTTCTATTGCACAATCTCTCCGTCGCATTTTCATCGATCACCCAAGCTCACAGACCAGTACTTCAAGTGCCTACACTTACTGCGATCTGGAGAAGAAGAGCAGGACGATTTCTATATAGAAGATGCTTACGACTGGCTGTCAAAGCTGTTCGAGCCTCTCGTCGCCCAGTTAGCGCCATCGTCTTCAACGGTTCCTGAGGATAGCCGGCCGACTCTCTCCCAGTATCTGTTCCCTCCGTATTTCATTTGCGGTCTCGATGCTGCTGATGAAGTCCCGCGCCCGTACGAGGCGGAGACTCGGGAACACGGCTGGGCCGACCCGGCTCTAGCTGTAAAGGACGACATCCTTACAGACCTCGACCAGTGGGCTAAGTCTTACCATCCATCGGATGTTGAGATAATATACAATCGCCCTGAAGACGTGTTAATCAAACGACCGAACAAGGTTCTTGTTGGTGGTGGGATTGAATGTCACTTCAAACGTTTTGGGCTCTCATTTGGTCCAACGCATGCGAAGGAGGAACTCACCACGTTGAAAGCAATCGCCATGGCGCAAATACCTCCTCCCCCCGAAGCATGGATCTGCCGCCTACATGGAGTTGTTCGAGACGGAGACAAGTTAATTGGCATGCTCTTTATTTGGATCGACACGAAGGGCGTGTTGTCAAAAGCAAGAGCTGACAAGAGTTCACCCGATCTGCGGAAACGTTGGAAGACACAGATCAGCACATCCCTGGAGAAGCTGCACCAGAAGGGCATCATCTGGGGCGATGTCAAAGCCGAGAATGTCCTCATCGACCGTGAAGACAATGCCTGGATCATCGACTTTGGGGGAAGTTATACCCATGGATGGGTGGACAAGGAGAAAGCCGGGACGCTGGCAGGCGATGCACAGGGCTTAGCAAAGATACTGGATATTCTTCATTAACGAACACCGTATTGAGCGCAAAACAGATGTGCTTCATCAGTTTCTAAGCCATGAGTCCGTTTGCGCTATGTTGACTTAGCTTACCTACCCTAAGTCGGACGCGTCCTGTCGCTCTGCGCCGCTGGCAACGTCATTTGCGGGAGATGCTGTCTTGAAACCGTCGTCTGAAGCCCGTTGTGAGTTGTCCCAACCTCACCACATTTCAGAACATATAAGACCCGTCTTTTGAGACCTCAACTCAGTCGAGAGAGTCGGGATTCAGCCAGTCTGGGGGTAGAAACATATGTTCCCGGAGGATTCCGTCATCGGTCAAGGTACATATCCAGGCATTGTGATCAAGGAACACAAGACTGCCATCAATGTCCCCAGCAGGGACTCGGGCACTTCTAAGAAACTTGCTTAGCGGTCCCAACGACTTTTCTGGTTGTGACAGTTTGTAGGGCTTTTGCCCAGTCCAGAATGCAAGCATCAACGTTGCTCGTGGTGACGTAAGCCAAACAGAGCTATTCGGGGTCTCAGATGGAGCTTCTAAATAAAAAAGCGTGATTGTTCTTTTGAATGGGACGTGCTAATCGTGTGAAATGACCATCCAATTTGTGAATAAGACGAACATCGCGGGCGTACGGAGTGATGCGAATGTTGAGGTACGCAAAGATATCCTTGCTTCAGGATAGGCTAGCAGTTGACCGGGGCACCAGCCAGACAAAGAGCTCGTTTTAGGAAGTTGATTCGTACGTGCACAGCGGCTGCACTCAATAGTTGATGCTCGAGGCCATCACCAGAGTGTCGAACTTGTCCCAGAGAAACACGATCATCTCGTCTCTGTAAAGGTCGGGCTTCTCGATCAAGCGGCCACACAAAGCACTCAGCATTGTTGGCGTAATACTGCTCGGCCGACTGACTCCGTTAAGGGGGCTCTCGCGTCTCCGAAGCACTCGAAATTGGCCCGTACGTTGTAGACCGTCCGCGCGCTACATCCTGCAGCCCTGGCTATGCTTGCATTGGTAAAGTCCCCGGTAAGAATCATGTCCCGAATCAGCTTGTGCTGGGATGCAGCGATGTCGGGCGCTATGGTGTGACGGTTGTCCGGTTGTGCTTTGCGTACATTGAAATATGGTAATGCATGGCAAGGGTTGTAAATGGGATACAAGAAGTCTTAGGGCCGGGTTCTTGTCAATGAAACATTTTCAAAATGATCACGCGTGTTGAGATGGCTTGCTCACAGTCGCAACGTCACAGGCGTGATCTGATATACATGACCGCTTTGGCATTTTGGCATGGGGTGAAGCATAGTTATACGAAATAATCTGGCTGATCGAAGCCGAAATACGTGATCGATTAGTTCTAAGCTGAAACCGGGCATTAAAGCAGACACTTTAATGCCACAGTTTCAATGTTGTCAAGTTGAAGCCATATTAAGGACTGTTTTGGACATGGAGTAATCAACAAACGGATGCATGAGCACAAGGTGTGTATGTATGCGATCCAGTGAACATAAGCAAGTGGCATAAAATCAAGTTTGCACTTATCACTGCCGTTTGTAGATCTTGGATTATGTAACAAGGGTCTGAACCATAAACACAGTGTAAACACAATTTCTGGCTTTACTGCGGAGATCATCAAGAAAAGTACTTTGTGGGCCTCATCTTGTACCCCGTCAGTAAACAAATCTATAAATGTCTGTGCGGAGAAGAATTTCTGTCCAAGAATATGGAAACCGAGGGGAACTCTCAACTCAGTCTTGTCGTTGGTTTACTGTTTAAGAAAGGTTGGTGGTGTGAGTGGAGGTATCTTAGCCTCCCGTCATGGCGGAACCAATGGAGGCCGAGATTGTGGTGGAACCGGATGACGCCCCCTTTTCGACGCCAAAGCGCCCGATTCGAGTTGCGAAGCCGACCACCAAAATTCGAACCACGACTCGACAGGACAAAGAGGCAGCGCAGGAACCGAAGAGAACGACCCGGAACACGACGCGATCAGAATCAATTGAAGGAACGGCGGAACGAGCGAGCGACATCAGACGAAGCAATGGCGGCGGCGGAAGTATCGGAAGCAACGATGGCCGGGCAATGCTCCAGAAGGCTTTGGAGATGCTGGGTGAACCCCGCAAAGAGTCCCAATGGCTGAAGGAAGCACTCAAGCGGCAAATGGAGGTGGTACAGAAACAGGACGAAATGATACGCGACTTGAGCTCGAAGATGGATGAAACCACGAAACAGATGAACGAAGAACTGAAGCAATCCCGCGAAGAACTGAAGCTGGTCCGTGAACAACTCGAAACTATCGCGACAAACGCCACACAATCCCCCTCCATGTCGTACGCCGACGTTGCGCGATCAGCCCCGTCATCCCAACCGACTAACCTCCGAACGCTCTCGTCCTTTAACACGACGCCGTCCAACTTCTCCGACACGCCGTACTGCACAATCGATACATCCCATGCCGAAAGCGAAGCCGCCGAGCAAGTGTCGGTCGGCTCAATCCGAACGATGGTGGAGAGCCAGATCCGTTCTGGAGAAGGCGAGGCCGGGTCCTGGCGGTGCCGAGCAGTGACGAAGGACCCTAGGAACCCCCATCGCATCAGGATTGCTTGCAGAAACGACGATGAACACGCGATGGTGAAGCGAGTGGTGGAAGCGAACCTAGCGCGAGGAGCCCGGATTCTTCGAGACGATGTTTACCCAATCAGAGTGGGAAGTGTCAACCGCACAGCTGTGCTGAACGACGATGGAGACGTCCGCGTCGGAGCAGCGGAGGCTTTTGGCGTGGAGAACGACGCCTCGGTTGCGAAGGTAGCGTGGCTTAGCGACAGAAACGTTGCGAAGGCGTATGGATCGATGGTAGTGTATCTCAGGAAAGCGGCGGATGCACGCCGGCTGCTCGGCGAAGGCTTCTTCCACGCGGGAGGAGAGTCTGGCTATACGAGGCCCTTCGAGCGCCGAGAACGAACGAATCAGTGCTACAACTGTCAAGAAATTACCGACCACAAGGCCTACCAATGCAACAAGCCCAAGGTATGTACGAGATGTGCTGCAGAAGGGCACAGCCATCACGAATGCAGGGCGACGATCCTGAAGTGCGTTCCGTGCGGAGGGCCGCATGAATCGTTCAGCAGAAACTGCAGGAGACTGTACCCCGCACGACATGAGTAAAAGGTTCCGGATGATGCAACTTAACGTGATGAAAAGGGGCGAGATACACGAGAGCTTGATGAACGACGAAGCAATTCGGGATACGACGGTGTTGGCGATCCAGGAGCCGCAGGCGAGGGTCATCCAAGGCCGCCTCCTGACGACCTCGATGGGACACTAGGGGTGGACGAAGATGGTCCCGTCGACGTGTAGGGAGGGTAGATGGGCGATCAGGAGCATGTTGTGGGTGAATAAGGAGGTGGAAGCGGAACAGATACTGGTGGAGTCGCCCGACGTGACGGCGGCCGTTGTCCGGCTCGAGGAGCGGCTGGTGGTAGTGGTGTCGGTATACGTGCCGGGAGGTGAAAGCCATGCTCTGCGGAGCATATGTGACAAGTTGCGACAAGTCGTGCTGGACACTAGACAGCGAGCGGACAGGGTAGTGGATGTGGTCATTGCCGGCGACTTCAACCGACACGACCGGCTCTGGGGAGGAGACGAGATATCGATGGTCAGGCAGGGAGAGGCGGACCCGATCATCGACCTCATGAACGAGTTCGGCCTCAGTAGCCTACTACCGCGTGGCACGAAGACGTGGCAGAGAGGGGAACACCAGTCGACCATCGATCTCGTCTTGGCTTCTGAAGATCCGACGAACTCGCTGATCAAGTGTGCGATCCACGAGACGGACCATGGGTCGGATCACAGGGCCATTGAGACGATTTTCAACGCCTCGATTCCTACAACGGCACCACGGGAGCGCCTGCTCTTCAAGGACGCGCCCTGGAAAGAGATTAACGCCAGGATCGAGAGAGCGCTGGAAACGACACCTGGTGAAGGAACGGTGCAACAAAAGACGGACAGACTGATGGCGGTGGTAACGGAGGCGATCTACGCCCTGACACCGAAGGCCAAGCCGTCGCCGTACTCAAAACGATGGTGGACGACCGACCTGACACAGCTTCGTCGGATTTATACGTACTGGAGAAACCGAGCGCGTGCAGAAAGGCGGGTGGGACGAGCCATGGCGGACCTGGAAGAAAAGGCAAAGGCGGCATCGAAACAGTACCACGACGCGATTCGTCAGCAAAAGAGAAAGCACTGGAATGAGTTCCTAGCGGACGACGACAACATATGGAAGGCTGCTAGGTACCTGAAAGCAGGCGATGAGGAGGCTTTCGGCAAGCTGCCGCAGCTGGTTAGGGCAGACAAAACAACGACAACGAACCACACAGAACAAGCAGAAGAACTACTCACCACCTTCTTCCCCGCCCTCCCCGAAGACATTGACGAGGAGGGAGACAGACCGCAGAGAGCTGCGGTGAAGATGCCGCCTATTACGATGGAAGAAGTGGAACGCCAGCTATTCGCGACAAAGTCGTGGAAGGCACCCGGCGAAGACGGGCTCCCCACAGCGGTCTGGAAGCAGACCTGGCCGGTGGTGCGGGCCTGGGTGCTGTCGATTTTTCGGGCGTCTCTGGACGAAGGGAAACTGCCCCATCAGTGGAGGCACGCAAAGATCATACCCCTCAAGAAACCGGGCAAAGACAACTACACGCTGGCAAAAGCATGGAGACCGATCTCGCTGCTGGCCACACTGGGTAAGGTGCTGGAGTCGGTGGTGGCGGAAAGGATATCACATGTTGTCGAACTCTATGGTCTGCTGCCGACCAATCACTTCGGAGCTCGGAAACAACGATCGGCCGAGCAAGCGCTCTTGCTCCTCCAAGAGCAGGTTTACACGGCATGGCGAGGCCACCGTGTTCTCAGCCTCGTCAGCTTTGACGTGAAAGGGGCATACAATGGAGTGTGTAAGGAAAGGCTGGTCCAAAGAATGAAAGTGCGAGGCATCCCAGATGACTTGCTCCG